AAACTGGTGCAGCCACTCTGGAAGACAGTATGGAGGTTCCTTAAAAATAGAACTACCCTATGACCCAGCAATTGCACTACTAGGTATGTATCCAAGGGATACAGGTATGCTGTTTTGAAGGAGCACATGCACCCAAATGTTTATAGCAGCACTATCAACAATAGCCAAAGTATGGAAAGAGCCCAAATGTCCATCGATGGATGAATGGATAAAGAAGATGTGATATGTATGTGTGTGTGTGTGTTTACACACATACATACATACAATGGAGTATTACTTGGCAATAAAAAAGAATGAACTCTTGCCATTTGCAACAGCATGGATGGAACTAGAGGGTATTAAGCTAAGGGAAATTAGAGAAAGACAAAAATCATATGACTTCACTCATATGAGGACTTTAAGACACAGAACAGATGAACACAAGGGAAGGGAAGCAAAAATAATATAAAAACAGGAAGGGGGGCAATACATAAGAGACTCTTAAATATGGAGAACAAACAGAGGGTTACTGTAGGGGTTGTGGGAGGGGGGATGGGCTAAATGGGTAAGAGGCATTAAGGAATCTACTCCTGAAATCATTGTTGCGCTGTATGCTAACTAACTTGGATCAAGTTAAATAAATAAAACTCCAGAAAAATAAAATAAAATTAAAAAATAAAAAAAAATGCTCTGTGAATTAAAAAAACATCACAGATCAGCGTAACAAACACAATAATAATGAAAAAGCTTGAAAATTTCAGGAAGTATGAAAATATAACAGATAGGAAGTGACCAAGTGCTATTGGGAAAACCCTGCTCGATGCAGGGTTGCCATAGACCTTCAGTTTATAAAAACAAACAAAACCCACAGTACCTGCATAGCTCAGTAAAGCAAAGTGCAGCAAAACAAGGTTTTCCTATATATAAAATAGTCAAACCTAGAAGCAGAGAGTAGAATGGTGGTTTCCAGGGGCAGTGGGGAGGGAGGGAGTTGCTGTTGAACTGGTAATAGTTTCACTTGGGCAAGTTGATTAAGTTCTACGGATCTGTACTGTGCCTGTAGTTGGCTGTACTGTGTGGTACACTTTAAATTTGTTGAGAAGGGTGGGGTGCCTGGCTGTCCCAGTCAGTAGAGCATGTGACTTGATCTCAGGATTTTCAGTTCAAGCCCCACATTGGTCCTGGCCTACTTAAAAGGTGGGGGGCTATCATTTAACAATAAAAAGAACAATTACCGGGGTGCCCTGGTGGCTTAGTTAAGCATCCGACTCTTGATTTCAGCTCAGGTCTCATGGTTTGTGAGATTGAGCCCCGTGTGGGGCTCTACACTGAGAGTGCAGAACTTGCTTGGGATTCTCTCTCTCCCTCTCTTTCTGTCCCTCTCCCACTTGCGCAGGTGCTCGCTTGCTCGCTCGCTCTCTTTCAAGATAAATAAGTAAATAGGAAAAAAACAATTTCCAAAACTAATTACTTTCTTAAGGTAGATCTCAGGGTGCCTTGCTGGTTCAGGCAGGAGAGCAGGTGACCCATGATCTTGGAGTTGTGGGATTGAGCCCCATGTTGGGTATAGAGATTACTTAAAAATCACAAATCAGTTAATTAAGAAGGTAGGTCTCATGTGAAATGTTTTTACCACAATAAAAAAATTGGTGTGGAGGTTGCTGTCTCAAAGATCAACTTAAGTTTTAGGAAACCAGATGTGAATATTTCATCATCCAATGATTTTCAGATATATTACACTTGCATGCACTTCAAGGGAAAATATCAACCTTTCCTCCAGTTTATCTTTTTTTTTTTAAGTTTAATTATTTAAGTAATCTCTACACCCAACATGAGACTTGAACTCACCACCCCAAGATCAAGAGTTGCATGCTCTTCTGACTGAGTTAGCCAGGTGCCCGTCTTGAGCTCTCATCCCCTTGTCTCTTAACACTGATGCCCAGTTTCTTTTCTCTCTCTCTTTTTTTAATGTTTGTTTATTTATTTTGACAGAGAGTACGTGCAAGCACGGGAGGGGCAGAGAGAGAGGAGAGAGAGAATTCTAAGCAGGCTGCATGCTCAGTGTGGAGCCTGACATGGGGCTGGATCTCACAAAGTGTGAAATTCTGACCTGAACTGAAATCAGCAGTCGGATGCTTAATCAACTGAGCCACCCAGTTGCCCCTCAGGCTCAGTTTCTTGACCCTATTATGGTGACACTCCAGGTGACACTCCTTACATATCAAGCTATCCCCTTCTGGATGCCTCTCCTCTCCCAGTTTTCATCTGGCTTGTTTCTGTCTTTCCTTCTGGATCTCAGCTTCTACATTACACCCTCAGAGAGCCTTCCTGTTCCTTAGACGTGGGCAGCTCATCCAACTGATGTGCAGAAGCACCCTGCACTTGACTTCCCTAACTTTTCTCCTTGAAATTCCTTTGAATTCTGTCTCTGTCCCTAGAGATAGCTAAGACTTGATCTTGTTTACTGTTGTAGCCCCAGCTTTTGGCCTAGGTGCCCAATGAATATGTGCTGAGTGAACAACCGGATGTTGTTTTATTTTCTTTTAAGATGCTTGCCAGTTGGAGAGGCAGATTGCTTATTTCTTAATGGTCTAAACTGGTGTTGCTCATTTTGTTGTAACTCCCATGGAGGGTTTGTACGGGCAGGACACTGCTGCAGATATTGCTGGCTGGTGTTCCCCACAGCGTGAGGCCTTTTCAGCGTGTATCCCGCCTTTTTCTCTCATTCAGGGGATGCACATGTGTGAGGAATAGGAATTGTTTTTTCTTTTTCAAAAAATAAGCTACTTGAAAACTTTGGTCCTTTTTTTGAAAAAATTCTTTGGAATGCATCTCACAACTGCACACAACATACCACTGCCTGAATTGAGGCAACAAAATTGAGAACCTTGGGTCTGTATTTCTCAAGAGGACCTGCTAAATAAAGATCTGGATTCAAATTACAGACCGTATTTGCTATTATTAATTTTTACACCCCTCAAAAGCCCCTAGGTACATCAGTCTGTCTCTTGGGAGGAGCAGGGAATTCAAGTGGTATAACACAGTTGTTAAGAGTTGAGACTTGGTGGTCAGATGGACCCGGTTTAGAGTCCCTAGGCTGCCACACTGGCTCTGTGACCTTGGACAAGTCACTTGTATAAGCCATCTGTAAAATGGGAATAATGATAGTTCCTATCTTTGAAGGTTATTGTGAACACTGAATAAACTAATCTGTAGAAGTCACTTTAACTCTCTCCTCTGGGGGAGTTAAGTTAAAAAGAGGCAGAGGAGAAAGCTGAGAACCTGAGCCCATTTTTCTCTGCTCATCTGAAAGGTCCCAGAGGGCAGAGGCTGTGTCTGGTATAGGTTGTACCCATGGTGCCTGGCGCCCTTGTACATTTGTAAAAGACACTCAGATCTAAGGTTCTATATTTGTTGTTAATGTGCAGGCCTGGAGAGAGAAGAATGGCCACTGAGCAAAGGACACAAGAGAGAAAAACTCAAGCTAACTGCCAGAATAGCACTAGAGAATTCCACCAATCTTTATGCAAGTTGTTGGGATTTGGTAGGAATTAGGGGAAATTTACTCAAACAGCCAGTGTCTCTCTTTTCACAAGACCTTTTTTAGGACCAAGAAATTCCCAGAAGTGGATCATGAAAGGGCAGGGCCCAGTGAGGGTATGGCTCTTGATTCAGGTCTCTCTCTCCACAGGCTGCTGAGAAGGGTCATGTGGACATTTGCTCTCTCCTGTTGCAACACAGCCCAGCCCTGAAAGCTGTCCGGGATCGGAAGGCACGACTGGCATGTGACCTGCTGCCCTGCGACAGTGACCTACGGGACCTGCTGGCCAGCTGAACTGCCACCCTTCTGCTGTCTTAGGCTGCCATGCAAGGGTACACAGACTAGCCCTCCCAGCCCCTGCCTTGGTCAGCATCCATACTGCAGGGTGGGAAACTGAGGCCTGAAGAGCCCCATTCTGGCCACTGTGGAAGTGAGGGAGTAGATCTCGTGGGGCTGTAAGTGCTTACGCCTGGACAGATGATCATATTCTAAATTAGTTCATGTGGAAACATCTATCCCTTGGAAAAAATAAAGTTGTATCCTTACCTCATCCCATGTTCAAAAATAAATTTCAAGTAAAGACGTAAGTATAAAAACAGAACTATGTAAGTATTAGAAGAAACCACGGAATAGATGACAAAAGCCACTTTCTGGCTGAGTGCCCTTGGAAAAAGTCACTTCACCCATCTGTCCCGGCTTCCTCATCTGTAAGGTGAGGATGATTGTAATACGGCCTGCCTTAAGGGCCTTGCGGAGGTTCAATGAATGAATCTATGGAGAGCACTAGAGAGCGTGCTGGGCACATTGCAAGCAGTGTATTTGGAGGACCCACTTACTCAACTTGCATTAGTTTTAACAATCTGCTAGATTAAAAGTGTTCTTGCTTTATTTTGCATTGCTGATGATCAGTGAAGTTGACCACCTATTTTCTCTGAACTTCCTGTCCATACCTATTGCCTATTTAAAGACTTTCTTCCTTTGATTGATTCATAGGAGTTTGTATATTCTGGATATTAATATTGTGGTTTTTTTCTTTCTTACCATCACTTTGTTGGTATCTGCTCATGGAAATTGGTACACCTGCTGTAGACAGCAGTTTGACAATATCTATCAAAACTTAAGTGAGTAGGGCCAATAATTTGATTTCTCTGTAGCTACTTAGAGAAATATCCATAAATACAAAGAAGTTTACTTACAGAGACGTTTACAGAGTTGTGCATTGGAGTATGTAGTGTAATTTAAAAAAAAAAAAAAAGGGAGGGAAACAAGCTAAATTCTCTCTGTTAGGGCAATGATTAAATTCTGGGACACGTGTCATTTGGGGGAAGTTTAGCAGAGTGCAGTGTAGGCTAATGTGGAAAGCGTGCTGAGTTGGGATCACAGTGTGATGTCTCTTATATAAAAACATGACTGTACATCCACAAGACATAGAGGAAAAGAGTCAGGATATATACAACACCGGTACACATGGTATCGCCTGGGCCACTGTGGCAAGAGTGGTTCATCAAGTGCATCTTGAGTTTTGTTTATCTTCCAGTTTTTTATAAGGAGTAATTTTTTGGTAAGAGTTCATACCAGTTAATTTCATGTGGAAGAAACTAGTTTTACTGGTGATAGTTTGAGTCAGTGGCAGACAATTGAGTCCAGAACTGACGTCTTATCTTACTTACCCTCACTCTAGGTAACTCCCCTTCTGCATTCTCAAAGGCAAGAAATCACCCTAGACAAAAACCCCTGGTACATAAGGACCAAGTTTCTTTAAAAACCTCCAGGTTCCCTAAGTTTCAAAACTTGGATGTATTTACCAAGAAGCCAGCTGTGGGTGGAACCATTCCCAGCCCTTTGGGGCCTTGGGCTGTCCTTGACCTGTAGTTCTTCCCTCCCTCTGGTTCAGGTCATCTCTACTCCTGTAGCTCCAATTCTGGAATCTTATTTACTACCTCTCAGATTTCCTTTCAAAGGTCAAAGCAGAATTCAAGGCACAGCTGGGTGAAGGGCATGCTTGGCATCTTAAAGAGAATTAGGAAGTTTGACTTTGGTGGCTTGAGACAGGTTGCTTTGTGACTGGATTAGTGGTTGACATTCCATACTTGGACCTGGAGCGGATCTCAGTTCAGCTTCCATGTGGAAAGGCATGCTCCCTGCCAGGAGGGCGTTGGGTAGGGGACCTGCATGTGTGGGACTTGGCTTTTCAAGAGGCATGAGGTGCTGATGACAGGCTGGACTTGGCCCCTGGTGGTGGTATAATTTAAAACACTGACTCTCAGAGTGGTGAGGGAGAAGAAACAGGAACTATAAGGGAGAAGTGAGGGCCACCTGGGGAAAAAAACCAGCAAGAGTAGGGAGGGCAGTCTTGAAACTGGGAGTGGGAGGTCGCTTGAAGCCTGATTTCCTCCTGTAGATGCCATGAGGATTCCTGACGCAGAGGTCAGCCTCTTAGGCCTGTCCTTCCGGAGATATCCTCTAGGATTCTGGCCTCCTTTTGCTTAGGACAGGCTGGCTGGGTTTTTTAGGATCTCAGGCAGCTAGACCTGCAGCAACATGGAGGATCATGCTTAACTCTTCTCTAGTGGCCCAAGCACCCCTGCATCCGTTTATTGGTTGGACCACTCCTGAGCAGGTGCAGGAGACTGGGTGTCTGAGAGTGCACCTGACTCAGCTGAAAGCAGTTCCTGCTGCCTTCAGCGGGCTATACGCCCACACTGGTATTTTGGTCAGTGTTACAGAACCACTGAGCTATCTGGCCCAGGCAAAAGCCTCTGGCCTGCCCTGCCCCCAGGAGCTAGCTCTCTATAAAAGGGCTGAGCCACTCAGCTCCTCTCACTGGGGGTGTGAAGAGCAGGGGGGGACCATGGATGTCATCAGCATCCAGCAGTTGGTAAGAACAAGGGGCAGAGGGGAGGGAGGCCAGGCGATTGTCTAGACTGCAGGCTAGCTCGGCAGAACGAGGAGGTCCAGCTAGAGGAGGGCAGGCAGCTTCTATCTGTGGTCTAAGGATCAGGTTTTAGGAGCAGAAACATGCGGTGGTTTTCTGGTGTGGCAGCCCAGTTCTGTGAGGTAGCGAGAGAGGGAAGCAATGGGAAGATGCTGAGTGATGGCAGATGTGACAGCCCTCAAGTTTAGTGAGTTTTCCTCTGGAATGTGATGGTGGTAAAAGAGAAATTGGAAGTGGTAGGTTACTTTGGAAGACATGAGTGTAGCTGGGGTGTGGGTTTAGTTCAGCTGCTAGGATAACCATCACTCTGGAAATGGTCCAGATGGTCTGGCTGCATTGCTTGGGGTGGAGGAAGGGTGCTCTCGAGTTCCCAGGCAGTGAGAGAAGCGGTGACACCAGTGACACTTAGGGGTGTCTGTTTTGGTGAGGCAAGGCACGGGAGGCCCAGGACTCCGGTTGCCCAGTAAGCCCCTCTGCAGGCCAGTGCCTTGGCGGGCCCAGCCCAGTGCAGCCTCTGCTGGGAAGTGGGTTGCAGGGCTTGAGGAAAGTTAGGTTGCCAGCGTTTACTAGTTAGTTCTGCATGCTGGGAGCCCTAGGCTCTGCCATCTGTCATTCTGTTTCCCCTCTCCCCCAGTATCCTTATTCCTCAGTGCTCCCCAGCTCTTGAACCCCCAGCGGGTGCGGGGGATAAGAACAGATCATGATATGGTGGGTTCTGCCCCAGCAAAGTCCCAGTACTTAGTTTCTTCCTCAGCTAATTGAGGAAGCTAATTGAGGAATTCCTCAGCTAATTGAGGAAGCTAATCGTGAGCTAATTGCTAGTGTTACCTCCATTCTAGTGATGAAGAAACAGAACTTCACAAGAGCCAAGATTTAAACCCAGGAGTTCACAATTTTACCCACGAGGCATGTCCTCTGTCCTTCTGAGCTCGGGGTTAGATGGCAGTATGGCGTGGTCTGGTAGGAATGTAAGGACGATGGCCCAGGAGGGAAGCTGAGGTGTCACCTACCCTGAGCATACCTGGACACAAGCCCAGCAGTATAAATAGATGTGGCGTCACGCCCCTGACCCTGTGTCCTGCTGACAGGACAGGGTAGGCGGCAGTTATCCTGGGCCCCAGGCAACACTATAGTAGGTGAGAGCCAACATCCACGGGTGGCAGGGAGCATGCCAGCAGAGCACCAGGAAACTGCGAAGGGTCAGACCACCCTGACGTCCACAACACTAATCTCTGTAGGTCTGCTCTTCCCAGGATCCCTGTACCGCACTGCTGTCTTCTAAGGACTCTTCATTTTTCTGAGTGTTTATCCTTATCCTGCTCCTACAGGTATGTGGAGAGAGAGTTGAAAGGAAAGCGTTGGGATGTGGACATGGCGTTGCTGATTGTGGAGGCGGGCCCAGAGCCTGGAGGCTGGGAGCCCAAGAGGCCGTGGCCCGGGAGCAGTGGAAACTCGAAGAAGAGAAGAAGAAGAAAGTGAGCAGTGCTGGGGGCCCAGCAGGTGCCAACGCCAAGGGTCAGCAGTGAGGGCCTCAGGCGGCTGGGGTCCCTCCGGTGGGTGGGAGACAGAGTGAGCCCAGCCAGGAGCCTGATCCCGAGGCTTCCATGACCAAGGCTGACTACTGGTGTGGTCTGGTCTTGTGCCCCAGCTTGAGAGATTGAACAACTCCAGACTGAATCTGGAGACTCTGGCTGACTTGGAAAACTTGGTTCAAAGACGGAGAAAACGACTGAAACGCAGAGTCCCCCCTAGGGCACCTGAGCCCACGGTTAAGGTAAGTGAGGAGTCGGGGTGGGGGGAGAGTGCATACCTGGGGCCAGAGTTTGTGAGGAAGTGCTTCCTGTCCCCCTGGGAGGGCTTGGGGAAGAGTGGATGCTGCCAGCCACCAGCTCACCGCCAGGGCCTGCCAAGCTGAATGAAATCCATTTTGGAGGGCACACAGCCCCCTACTTGTTTGCTGGGGGACCACACACAGGGTGGCTTAAACAACAGAAGGTTATTTTCCCAGTTCTGGAGGCTAGAAGTCTGAGATCAAAGTGTCAGCAGGGTTGGGTTGGTTCCTTGTGAGGGCTGTGGGGGAAAGTCTATCCCTACCAGCCTTCTAGCTCCCGGGGCTTAGTGGCTAGCTTTGGTGTTCCCTGGCTTGCGGGTACATCACCCCAACCAGTCTCTGAGTTCACATGGCACTCTCCCCACGTGCATGCTGTGTCCACATGTCCCCTTTCATTAAGGACACCACTCATATTGGATTAGGGCCCACTTTATTCCAGTGTGACTTCGTTTTAACTAATTCCAGCTGCTTATTTCCAAATAAGGCCACATGCTAAGGTCCTGAGGTTGGGATTTTAGCATATAAACTTAGGGGGTGGGGGGCAAGGCAACCCATAATGGGCATAATAGGTGCCTAGTCAGTCAGAATCTCCTGGGGGGTGGGTTTTTAAGAATCTCTGATTTGGGGGCACCTGGGTGGCTTAGTTAAGCATCCGACCACCGGTTTTGGGTTCAGTCGCAACCTCACCATTCATGGGTTCAAGCCCCGCATCAGGCTTCATGCTGACAGTGCAGAACCTGCTTGGGATTCTCTCTCCCTCTCTCTTTGCCCCCTCCTGCTTGTGTGCTCTCCCAAAATAAGTAAAAGGTAAAAGGAAAAAAAAGATTAAAAAACTCTTGATTTGTACAAGCCACCAGCCAATGCTAGTCTTTAGCCAGCTCTTAGGGGCCCGCTTGGCTAGAGTGGTAGAGCCCCAGAGGCCTGTGGTTTTGGGAAATGATTTGGTCTCCTTTAACTTATCCAGCTGCAGCCCCAGGCCCAGCTGGAGTCTGTGGACCTGGAGATGTTCCTGAAGGCAGCTGCTGAGAACCAGGAGACCCTGATTGACAAGTACCTGACAGATGGAGGGGACCCTAATGCCCATGACAAGGTAGTGAGAGTGGGGTGAATCAGACTGCAGTGTCAGCGGCTGCAGGGGTGCTGTCTCCAGGGTGTTTTAGTTCTGGCCTACGAAACTGCAGGCCTTTTCTGTTTTATGGGGCACGGTTGCCTCCTGAGCCAGGAGGGAAGGGCCCTTGGTGTGATCAGGCAGCAGGCACATCTGTTCAAGGAACCCAATACTGGGAATAGGACCTGGGGCAGGGCCTTAAAGGGGTGGCCATGCTCCCTCTGCCTCATCTCCTGTCTCTACCCCCAGCTGCACCGCACAGCCTTGCACTGGGCCTGTTTGAAGGGTCACAGCCAGCTCGTGAACAAGCTGTTGGAGGCAGGTGCCACTGTGGATGCTCGTGACTTGGTGAGAACTGGGAAGGCCCACCCTCACAGCAGACACCCTGCCTTGCACACAGCATGTCAGTACATTGATGCTTTTGTTTTGTAGCTGGACAGGACACCTGTGTTCTGGGCCTGCCGTGGAGGACACCTGGACATCCTCAAACAGCTGCTTAACCAGGGAGCCCAGGTCAACGCCCGGGACAAGGTGAGGGGTGCACTGCTGTGGGGTGGTCTGCTAAAGAGAAGACCCAAGAGTGCACAAGAGCTCAGGCTATTCGTGGAGAAGCGAAAGCACAGCCTTTTGGGGTTGCGATGAGGCCTCACCACTTGGAGCAGACAGATTCTCATCCACTCCCTTAGATCTGGAGCACCCCCCTGCATGTGGCCGTGCGCACGAAACACTGTGACTGCCTGGAGCATCTCATTGCATGTGGAGCCCACATTGACGCACAGGATAAGGTAAGGTGCTGGGCCTTTTGGACTTGGGTCAGCTCCACCCGGGAACAGTGACTGAGAGAGCCAGAGCTCGAGGACAGCACTTGCCAACTTGAACCTTCCAAAGATGGGGAGGTCGGGAGGATAACATCCCCTTTCTCAACAGGAAGGGGACACAGCTCTACACGAGGCTGTGCGGCACGGCCACTACAAAGCCATGAAGGTACTGCTGCTCTATGGAGCCAAGCTGGGCGTGCAAAACGTGGTGAGTATGAGCAGGGCTGAGGCCCTGGTCTGAGAAGTGTGGGTGGAGCTCTTAAGGAGAAGGGGACTGATCCAGTATCCTTGTTCCTAGGCCTCAGTGACCCCGGTGCAGCTAGCACGAGACTGGCAGCGGGGCATCCGGGAAGCTCTGCAGGCCCATGTTGGGCATCCCCGCACCCGGTACTAGTGACAGCAGACCTGCAGGGTCACTTCACAGCCACCATTCCATCCCCTTTACCTCCCATCCTTATGTCTTGTCATCCGCACCCCTCTGTGGGTCTCACCTCAGTCCTATTCCTCTGTCCTGGGACTGCTTCCTCAGGCCAGTCCTAACAGGACTGAGCAGCAGCACTGAGGCCAGCAGGTGAATAAAGCAGGCCTCCCTGGCCCGAGTCAGGGCTGACTTGTTTCCTGCCAGGGCACCAGCTAGGAAGGGCTGATGCAGAGGACCACAGGGAAGCAGGGAACAAAGTGGGTCCAGATGAGGAACAGTGTAGGGAGAGTGGGAATCCAGGATGGAGCGAAAAATAAGTCCTAAACCTTGAGCTGCCCAGGGTTGGGTACTAGGTGTCCTTGGTGTCCCCTGATCCTCAGTCTGGGAGACTGTGTCCCTCCCTCCGCGAGGGAGAGGGGGGCGGGGATTCAGTACATGGCTTGTGGCTGCCCTGGGGCAGGGGTTTCTCTGGGGAATTCCATTCCTATCAGCAGCAACCCTGATAGCCTGTGGAGTGGCTCTAGACAACTTTGGCCTTAGGGATTCTGGAGGTGGGTCTGGCAGTCTGGAGGGGACGCTCAATAGGTTTGAGGCTCCACTGCAGAAGTCCAGTACCAACCTGGTTGCCTCAGAAGCCCCAAGACTGAGGAGCTAGAGCTGATGTTTATTTTAGGGAAACTTTGTGCCTACTGCCTCAGGGCTTTGGTCAGCCTGCCTGCCGCTCTCTAGTTGACCAGCTGGTGGCGCTTCTGGTAAGGGTGAAGTGCCTGGGAGCTGGGGATTGCTTGTGGCCCACCTAGCTTTTGGGGTGGTGGCCCGTAACCCTACTTACTTTGCCTCAGGCAACATTGCCCTGGCACTAGAGCTTGAGCCTGGACCTTGCAGCTGCACCTGCTCTGCTTTCTCCCACCGCTGAGGCGGGACATCGAGGAACTGGTGGCTCAGCCCTGGAGGGGAAGCAGAGGAGAGGAGCACACCTGCTGCTTTCCCTCCTCTGCTAAGTGGTGGCAGATTTAGGACCCAGCTTCCCACGAGCTCTCCTGAAGGTCCCTTCCTTTCACTGCCTTTTCCGCTCCATGGCGCACTGGCGCAGACCCGTACTGCTGGCAGGGCTGGGTCCTGAACTGGCAGAAAATGAATTTTAAGGAACTTTGCCCTAAATGGAGAACTACAAGCTGAGGCCCCAGCTTTAAGATGAAGGGTCAGCCTCCCTCACATACATAAGGTACCTGGATTGACATCGATTTTGCAGTTCTTTCTAGTCTAACATTGGTGGCCTTCTCGGGCCAAGCACAAGGCTATTCTCAGGATGTGAAAAAGCGACTAGAGCTCCCACCGGGGGCCACACACCTTCCCTTCTCACGGACAGCCCCTGCCCTGTGGTGAACTGTAAGGACAGTTCACCCAGGTGCCAGAGCCATATGAGAAATAGGTATTCAAGTCCATGGAGAAGACGACCCCCCATCTAGAAAATGGGGACCCTTACTTGACAGACAAAACACCATTTTATACGCATCAATATTTTTTGTTCATTAAAACTGGTTGACTATCCATCACAGCCTACTTGTCTGTTCTGGGCTGGGAGGGGCCAGTTCATTAGGTCCAAGGCCTTGTCTTCCTCAGCAGCAAAGCTCAAGCCTGTTAACCATACTGGCCTGACAGCAAGATGGGCTCCCAAGTGCAGAATGGGGAGTCCAGGCACTTGGCTTGTGTGCTCAAGGCATCACTCACTCACTCACTGATGGGCAAGTTCCAAGAGCATTGGCTCTCAGACTTGGCTGCTTACCACAATCACGAGGGAAGGTTTTAAAAAGTCCTGATGTCCAGGGGTTCCTGGTAAGCTTCTGACTCTTAATTTCGGCTCAGGTCATAGTCCTGCTTAAGGTCCTCTCCCTCTGTCCCTCCCCGACTTTTTCTCAAAAAAAAAAAAAAAAAAAAAAGTCTTGATGTCCAAGCAAGTTAAATTCTCTCTGGGGTAGGACCCAGGTATCACCACTATGATGCAGATGACACACCTCTCTATGTAGGAAACCCTTAAGGATCTACAAAAAAAATCACCTAGAATAAAGGAGTTCAGGATCTCAAGATCTAAAACAAACATGCAAAGGCCTATTTCTGCATATTAGCAATGACCACGTGGACATGAAACTTAAAAAAACACAGTTCCACTTAAAAATTGCTTTTAAAAATGAAAATAGTAGTATTTAGGTGTAAATCTAACAAAACATTTAAGGACTTGTATGCTGAAAACTTCAACACACTGATGAACAAAATTAAAGGAGAGTTAAAATAAAAGGAGACCTACCTTGTTCGTGGATTGGAAGATGAGACCTAGTAAAGATGTCAATTCTCCCCAAATTGACGTACAGGTTTAATGCAGCTCCTACCAAAAATGCCAGCAAGATTTTTTTGTAGATAAGATTACTTAGAAACTCATAGCTAAAACATCTTTGAAAAATAAAGTGGGAGGAACTGGTCTACCCGACTTCAAGACTGAATATAAAGCTATGGTAATCATGACTGTGGAATTAATGGAGTGACAGAGACAGATCAGTGAATGGAACAGAACAGACAATGCAGACATAGAAATATGCCCAACTGATTTTTGACAAAGGTGCAAAAAAATATTTAATAGAGGAATGCCTTTTCAACAACTGGTGCCAGAGCAACTGGACATCTATAGGCTGAAAAAAAAAAAAAAACCTTTGGGGCACCTGGGTGGCTCGCAGTTGGCTAAGCATTCAACTCTTGATTTCAGCTCAGGTCATAATCTCACAGTTCATGAGATCCAGCCCTGTGCTGGATCTGTGCTGACAGCAGGCTCTGTGCTGACAGCAGAACCTGCTTCAGATTCTCTCCCTTCTCTCTCTGCCCCTCCCCTGCCCACGTGCACTTGCTATGCCTCCCTCTCTCAAACATTAAAAACAAAAATAACTTAAATCTTGCACAAAAATTAACTCAAATGGATCACAGACTTAAACGTAAAACATAAAACTGTAAAGATTGTACAAAAAACAGGAGGGGCACCTGGACATCTCAATCAGTTAAGTGTCCAGCTTTGGCTCAGGTCATGATCTCTTGATTCCTGGGGTTAAGCCCCACATTGGGCTCTGTGTTGACAGCTCGGAGCCTGGAGCCTGCTTTAGATTCTGTATCTCCCTCTCTCTCTCTGCCCCTCCCCTACTTGCACTCTCTCAGAAACATTTG